GGGCGGTAGGATGTGTTTAAGTCAATCTAATCCTAGGGTTCTAGTTACCCCGTGTACAGTTTGTTGTGTGGCTTTAGGGGATTTATGTTTGCTCTTTTAATAGTAGTATAGATAATCATCTTTTCGAGTTGACAAAACGATATGAATAACAAACAACACAACATGCCGGTTTACCTGTTACATGATATATGTTTTGCAGCTTGAGTGCCTACAGAGACAGCTCGTTCTGCAATGAGCACACGGCACATTTATGAGGATACGTCAGGTCTGAGGATATATCGCACAAGATTGCCTCAAAAGCAACGCATCTATATATGCTGTGTGTGTAAAAATATTGCTTACATGGCCTCGAGTAATCAAATCAAAAACACAAATCAATTTTAACTTTTAGCTTGCCCCGTGGTAGCATTCTGCATTGATCAGCTAGCTCCCTGCTGCAACAACAAATTTCCAGTTCTTCCAGTGAGAGTGGGAGGCCTGTTTCCGGCAGCCTTGAGATGCCCCTAGACCCATCTACCTTCAAACTCTTCAGGGATGGAAGGTTGTGCAGCCCTGCAGGAATATCTACGAGATCGGAACAATACTGAAATTGGAGCTTTTGCAGGGACTTGAGGAGCACACACGCTTGCTCTTGCTCATCTGTTAGTCTCGTCACTTTCAAGAAAAAAAGATATAGGTGTTGCAGGGAGGTGAGGTGCCTGCAGAATGACGTGGTAAGGACAGATGGGTCATCGATGCAAAGGCTTTCCAGCCGAGGTAACAGCGTATAGCCCTGCCTTGAAAAGCTCTCCAGAAATGGTGGCAAGCCAGGGCACTTGAATACTGTCAAATGCCTGAGGCTGCCAAGGAATTGCAGACCCTGCAGTGCAGTGAGCGATCCACAGTATCTAATTACCAATTCTTCCAGTGCCGTGCATGAGTGCAGCTGTAGAGATTGCAAACCTGGGCTGCGATGTACCTCTAACTTTTTAAGGCTAGTGATATCGCTAGGAAAGCAGGGTTGCAGCGTTACTTGGGAATGGCCATCGATTTCAAGTTGGCCAAGTGAGTTCGGGAGTAGCCATCCTCCTTCTGTATGCACCAAGGACGAGAGCAGGTCAGGGCGGTCTAAAATGATTAGCTTCTCAAGGGAGGTAAATCCTGAGATGCCTTCCTTGCCCCAGTTAAATGTTAGATGAGCGCACCTCTCAATAGTTATCCTCTTTAGAATGGAGATGAGATTTAGTGGGATACTCAACAGTCGGTCTAGAGCTAATCCGTCATCTGGATTTCCGGATGATGTGCCCTCCTTGGTTGAGCTAAGATTTGATATACTGTTTTCTTCCTCTTCTGAATTTTCTCCCTCTTCTGAATTTTCTTCCTCTTGGGAAGACAAATACAATTCCTCTAGGCATGGCGCATGTTGCAGCATCAAAGATAGCCACTTCCCCACTATACCACATGAATCAATACTGAGACATTCGAGAGATGGGAAAGCCTTGCAATTCACAAGTGTCACATCTTCGAGGGTATGCTCTGGCATCTCATTTGAAGCAAAAAGTTTTTCACAATTTCTTATTTTCAAGCTCGTTAAAGAGACAAGGTAACTAAAACCTTTTAACGAAATGGAACTTAGATTCCGGCAACCATATATAACCATCGATTTGAGGTTTTTCAGATTATGGAACATAAACATTTTGTCATCCAGTATCTTCAACTCATCGGAAGATTCGTCAAGACCATAGTAGTCATCCTCATCCTCATACCCAATGCATAACTTTTTATCAGATGATCCCTTCATGTACGGAAGTGTTGAAACTCCACGGATGAGTAACCCAGAACACATGATTGAGCGTGGAAGAGGCTTCAACACTTTCAAATGGGGGCAATTCTCCAGACTTAGTTCCCTAAGACTAGGAGCCCATGACCTCTGCCCGGTTTCAAATTTATCGTTGTTCTCAAACAGATCAAACTTCTTCAGTGATTGACAATCCTTGATCTGCAGTGCTCTTAGTCTAGAGCTCATACCTTCCACGGAAGTGCATGAACATTTCTCCAACTTTGGCATTTTAACTAAAGCTAGCTCCTCCAGTGAAGGAACCAGTATTTCTACTACTTTCGGCAGGTTTCTCAACTCCAGCTTTGTCAAAAACCGAAACCTTTCCAAAGATGGAAGTATTTTCCATTCAATGCAATCGCATATGTGAACCGTCTGGGAGGAGGTAACCAAGATAATGTTGTCAACCATAATTGTCCAAGCAAAATTATACCCAGATATCTCGAGAATCCTTAAGTCCCAATGTGGTTCCCAACCCTCAACCTCCATGACCATGTCCGCAGGAGAATCCTTCCAGGACAAGTGCAACTTTTCTGAGAGTTCATTGTTTACCAGTCCTGCCTCATAAACATCTTCCAGAGTATTAACATGCATCCAATGTTCAGTGGATTGGAGTTGTGTTATCTCAAAGCCACTAGAAATATGAAACTTGAAACCATGTTGTTCCTGAAATGATAGCATATTATCAATGGTTGCAATGGAAGAGTACACTCCCTTGTGTACAACAAGATGCCGCAGGCTAACAAGATTATCAATACAACCAGGCATAGTACGATCATTGTATGAACCGACGTCTAATACTTGGAGATGGTACAATTTGCTCAAAATTTGAGGGAAAGACCCATCCACCTCCTCAATCCCATGTTTGAGAAAATCAGCAGATGCTGCAGACATTTGTAGCACACGTAAGTTATGCGCCTTTTGGAATATATATTGGAATAATAGTAAGAAGGAAAAGTCATAGTGCCCAAGTAACACTAATGTCCTCAGTTCACTAACTGATGTAATTGCATTTTTCAGATTTTCTTCAAACTTCTCATCACGATAAATGTTCCCATGCTGATCTTTCTGGTATGCAGATCCATTTACTATTGACAAATGTCGTAGAGTTCGAGGCATTTTTTTGTAGGGTCGACCATCTATACTTGCACTGTCAGTCCTTGAAACCATCATCGCAAAATCATGCATGAGACCGCATATGGCATACATAACTTGACTGCCTAGATATGGTTCTTCTCTTTTAGCTTCTTCAAAGAAGCCCAGGTTAACCAAATCAATCAGATATCCCCGCCCTATATCCTCCAATCTCTGACTAGAGCCGTTGCACTTTACAAATCCCTGTGATATCCAGAAACCGACCAACTCCTCATTAAGAAACTGATAACTGTCAGGGAATATGGAGCAATATGAGAAACACCGTTGTAAATGGTACGGAAGTTGATCATAGCTAAGCTTCAAAGCAGCCATGATCCCTCTATTGTGATGCATGTATTTCCACTCTTCGTTCTTTAGAACGATTCTCCAATAATCGGTGTTAAGTTTCTTCCGTAATAGTTCTCCTGTAGATACAGCTGCTAATGGGTTGCCCTTTAACTTCTCGGCTATTTGCCGCCCGATGATACTTAAACTTTGATGCTTCTGACAGTTCTCGTAACCAAATGCGTGTGATTTGAACAATAACCAAAAGTCATCATTTGCCAGAGCACCTAACTTGACTGGCTTGAGGGTGCCTAAGCTTTGTGCAACAGACATACTTCTGGTTGTGACTAGAATCACATTACCCTTCACATGACTTGATACCAGAGGAGCCAACATTTTATGGTGTTGGATATTATCGTTCATGTCATCCCAGACATCATCTAAAATGATTAAAAGTCGCTGTGAGTCGGCCTGATGCTTCAAGATCTCCTGAAGCTTCGCAAAACATTTTATATCTTCATGCCTTTCTTGATAAACAGAGTTCAAAATCTCCCTTGTTAGTCTCACTTCATCAAAATTGCGAGACACCCAAACCCATATCCTTTGGTCAAAATGATCATCCAAATATGGATCATTGTATACAAGTTGAGCAAGAGTTGTTTTGCCAACACCTGCAATGCCTACAATAGGCAGAACAACTACACCATCAGATTTTTCTCTTGTTATCATCCTTACAATGGAGTTCTTTTCTGCAACTCTTCCATACACTTCTCTTGGACCAAGACTTGATGTCCTTAGGTGCTGATCTAAGGTTGTATTTTGATGGTGATTTGAACTGGAAGATAAGTCTGATCCATGTAACTCGATAACCTCCCTCACTTGCCCTTGGATCTCTTGTAACTGACTAATAACTTTTCGTATCATATTGGATAATGTAGCTTTGTCCCAACGGGTGTGTGTATTAGCTGCAGTGATTTCTCCTGACTCCTCATCCACTCTCCGTCTTTTTCTAGTAGCTGAATCGTCATAAATAACAATAGGTGTCGCATTTGCAGCAGAATCACCAATGCTGCAGTAAGAAAAAGATCATGAACAAATGGCTATTAGAACCACGGTGGGGATTGTTTATTAAAAACATCTAAAAATTTATTGATGAAAGGTAGCTACCTCGACGGGTTTGGTTCAGGTTTCTTCTTGCAAATCTTGTTATGGTTAAGCATACCTGCTGTCCCGGTCTTCATTCCGCACTTGATCTCTGTGCGGCAGTATTTACATATTGCTTTGATTGGCTGTCCAATATCATTTTCTATAACATCAAAATTATCCCATGCCTTGGAGCGCCGTTTCTTCCCTTTTCCCCTGGATGAGCTGGCAATCAAAATTAGATAATATAACCATTCAAGAAAAAAAGAGAGGTATATAAACGATTTCTAATTAAATGGGCTCATGCTCAATTCTTCTTTAGGTACCTTGAAGGGTTTGGTGGATGCGCCCCGGGAGGTTTCATCTTATCGGGATGCTTCTTCTCCAAATGTTTCTTCATAGATGATGTACCGTTGGTCTTCGTATTACAGTTGAACTCATTGTCACAGTGTCTACATACTGCTTTGGCGGACTTTCCGTCAACAGTTTCTGTGACTGTAAAGTTTTCCCACACCACGGACCGTGATTTGCCAGCACTGTTACCTTGGGGCTCTTCTCTTGTAGCTGTGCCAACAGAAAAATGGACCAGAAAAGCATGGTCGTCCTTGATCAGATAATATAAATTTCATTAATTTTCCTAAGTAAGATAGGATCATCAGACTAACAATTACTAGTAGTTTGCCACACCTATGAAAGAACTTTGTGGTCGATCTACAGGTAGTAGTACGCGTACCTCCTTGGATGGACAGGTTGGAAGGAACCAGCACAGTTGGATCTGCAGGCAGCCGGGTCCGGGCACCTTCAACCAGCTCTTGGAGCCTGTAGTAGTCCAGCTCGTCGACCACATCGTCGGCTTCATAGAGCCGCTCCACGAGAAGAGCGAGAGATTCATCCAGCGACTCGTTCCTGATCCCCCTCTCCTTCACATCCGAGACCACCATCTTAACTCTCCTGATCTCTGACTTGAGCTTTTCAACGTCATCGGCAAGCCCGACTTGCCGAATCCACTCCTCCATCTTGTCCATCAGGAGCGTTGCAAGGATGGTCTGCACCAGCCATGCAATCGCGGCCTCCATCAGATCCGGCAGGAGCAGTTCCGGCGATGGTCAATGGAGGAAAGCTGGGGAGCAGCCGAGCGGACAAAAGACGATACGATATACAATGAGGCAGGTAGGAAAGCTAAGAGGACGTTTGTCTCTGAACAATACGATATACAAATACAATGCCGCAGTCCGTGACGACGAGGGAGCAGCCGAGCAGAGAGAAAAAACGGGGAAACGATGTAGGAGGAGTACTTCCTCAAAAAATAAATAAATACAAGTAGTACAATGTGCCGAATGCACTAGGACGCGGAGAAGAAAGCACACACGCTTTCATTTTTGTTTTTTTGAGATTATACAGACACGCTTTAAGCCCATCGTTGGGCCCAGGAAGCTCTATGGGCTGCGTGAGTTCGGCCTGTAGATCTTCAAAATTTTGGGCCAGGCTAGTGTTTTCAGTACCGCAAGTTTGGCCCAGAAATTTAATGGAATGGACCAGGCCGAGCACATTACAGCACACTGCTGGGGAGGGACAGGGTACCGGTCGAACTAATTCGTTCC